AAAAAATAAAAAATATCAAATATTGAAAAATTTCCAATCAAAATAGTAAATTTTAAATATATCTTATATAAAATATTGTTAATAAACTATTCAAGAAATGTGACCAATAAAATTTTCGGAGTTACTAAAAAAATAATAATCAATAACATTAAGTCAAGATCCAAGCTCCTAAAAAATTACGTCGCAATATAACAATTGTAAGTAAGAATAATATCATAATAATAAACAAGTAACAAAAGGACAAAAATTTTAAAAAATTAAATATAAAAATATAGAATGATAGACCTATATTTGAATTTGAGGTGAAAATGTATTTTTTGAATTATGATGAGAAAAGTCATATATACAATGGACAATAGCACGTATCTTAATCTTAATAGACAAAGTAAAAATCAAAAATATCAAATACTGAAAAACTTCCCAGCACAAGAGTAGATATTAAGTAAAATGTGTGAATTTATCTTATAAGAAAGTAAATTAAATATAATACCCATAATTTGAAATTTATGTTAAACATAAAAGAGAGTGGAAATTTTTTATTTGCTTATTGCATATAGTATAATAATAATAATTATTAAACAAAAAAACTTAATAGTAAAGAACACATTCAAATTCATAATTAGTACTGCATATTTGTTGATATTTATAATTTGAATTTGTTTTAAAAAAAATTAATAACTTTAGACTTTTGAAGATGAACAGTAGAATAAAAGTTTCAAGAAAAATTTTAGGAGTAAGAAAAATATATATCTGTGTTATATTATTAGGCGAGCAATTGAAAAAAAAATTAAGTAAAGTGACAAGCTAATAAAACGTAATGAAATAATACTAAGTATAGTAGATTATGTAATAAAGAAAAATAATGAACCGAAAAGCTATTTGTGATTATATGAATCTTTTTATAATTTCATAAGATTCTTTTATTGGTATGTTTCATTGGGTAACAAGAAGATAGTTAGAATTTAATTCAAGCAATATGATAGAATGTGCTCAAACAAATTAGATCACATAACATAATTTAAATTCTGTAATATTTTTCGCGCATCGCGCGGGTACTAATACTAGTTGTATTGTAAAGGTGGAAGATTTCTTTTTCACTCTGCTGCCTGACTTAGGGCACTAATTATTGGGAGTAATTTGGTGCACGTTAATTTTATTTATCCGCATCGTATATTTATACTAAATCAATAAATATATTACATATCAAATATCGAGAATTAGATCATGCCATATAAGTAATATGGGCTTGGAATGACACGCGCGCGAAGCAAAAGCTTTCCAAGCATTAAACCAACCCTTAATTACCATCCCGCTAATCTTGCCTAGGCTGATCATTACCCCTACAGTTAAAAAAGGAAACTAGAGATTTGGTTTTTATGTGTACAAAACCCTAGCTCATACCCATAAGTTTCAATACTAATCAAGTATCCTTCGTACACTCTAAAAAAACTGGATCATGTGCATTCTTCTCTATTTTCGCCTTTGAATAAGGATAATTACTCGCACTCCACTCTTCCTCAATTTCTGTCCCTCCCTATATATATGCTTAAATGAGCATAAAACTGCCAACATCCACTTTTAACTCATTAAAACATTATAGAGACCTTGTCATAAAAAGCTCTATATTACAACATTAACAAAATGGATTCAAGAGATGACGGCGATAATGGATTCCAATTCAGTCAAATACTTTCTCGAGAATCATCTGTAGGACAATCATCACGTATTTATTATTATAGAAGAGCTGAAGGGGTTCCATTTCAATGGGAGAAGCAGCCTGGAACTCCTAAGAATCCACCAAACGAAGATGTCGTTCCACCACTTAGCCCTCCACCTTCAATTCAAAGCTTGGGGCTGCCCAAGCCTTGGTTTATTAATACTGATGATGATGAACCTCAAGAATCGAAAAGTTTGAAGGTTTGGCTTTCGAAGAAGATTAAGAAATTGCATCAATTAAAAACTTTTGGAAAATCTCATCAAAATTCTGAATTAATGCATGGAATTGATGTTGTTGAGTCTGATGGAGAATTCGTTGCCAGTTCGTTCAAGAACTCGACTTCATCGTCCTCATCTTCATCTTCAACAGATTCATATACCTCAAACAGGCAAGAGAGGGAAAAATCTTCAGGGAGAAGAAGGGATATGATGGAGGGTTGCAGCCCATGGAATAATATCACAGAAATGGTTGGTATTATTGCAAGAATCTCCTAATTTTATTTTCTTTTGCATTTTGTGTGAACTATTTTTCTAAGTAGACTGTTCATATTTTTTATGCTACTTTTTCTCCCCTTTTACTTTACTGGAAATTGTTGTTCCCTAATGTTATTATTTGACGCTATTTTTTCTTCCCTTTTTCCTTACTGTCTTTTGTCTCCCTCTTCTTTCTTTCTTCCCCTCTTTCTTCCTCTTCTTCCCTTTTTTTCCTTGCCACCTTTTTTTGAGCCGATGGTCTATCAGAAACAGCTTCTGCACCTTTCCAGGTAGGGGTAAGGTTTACCTACACACTATCCCCAGACCTCACGTGTGAGATTATACTGGGTTTATTATTGTTATTGTTGTTGTTCATGTTTTTAGAGTATTTTCCTTTCCTAGTTTAGCTTTATATACTTTTACTATAAGATACATATTTATAATATCAGGTTACTAATATCAAGTAATCATCAATAAAGGGTGGGACTAGTAGTAACTTACAAATAAGACGAACTACATGCTACAAAAGCAAAAATATTATACTGGTAGTATAAAAATCATTAGTACAAGTAACTAAATCTTTTCCTGGAAAGAGAACTTAATAAGTAAAGGTTGGCTGGATGGAGATAAAAGTAGGGCATCTTCCTCGCAATCTTACCATAATAAGGTGCAAACACTAATGAATAATAAGGGGGCCCTTAGGATTGAAGTTACTTGATATCTATATACGCAAAAAATGTTCAATTTTCATGGAAAAAATAGCCACGAGTTTTAATTCTCATTTCTCATGAATTAGCATTTAAGCAATTTGTAATCATATTTCCAAGATAGAATCCTATGGTTTTGATCTGTGATATTAACGATATGATTTAAATTATGTATACTGATATTATTATCAGTATAATTTAATAGAGTATGTTATAGTCGGATAGTTATCATTTATTTTAAGATATCAATAGTATATAATGTTATTTGTATTGCCTCTTAAGTGATCTAATTGTTGCGGAAGCCAAATGTATATAGTGTGAATAAGTCACAACTACTATACCAAAAATTATGACAGCCACCAAATAATAAATAAGACAATAAAACAACAATAAAGGAAACACCAGAATTTACGAGGTTCGGCTAATTTTATTTTTACGAGGTTCGGCTAATTTTGCCTACTTCTCGGAAACAACCAATATTTTATTCCACTCCAAAAATACAAGTGAAATAATACTAAAGAGAGA